ATCAAATTTCTCTGAAGAAGGGGAACCCTCACACTGCAGCCACCATAGTGTTCTCTCCCCCCACCCCCATTTCTTCTGCTCAGTTCTATGATACTGGAAACAGATCTTTCAACTGTACCTCACCGAGATACAAGGTTGAGGCAATCTCCATTCAGCAGGTTCTGCTCAGTTATTTGCTAAAGTGGAATTCTTCTCCACTTCATTTAGCTGCTGAGTCATGAAACTTGTTTTGGATGGTGTTAGTTCCCCCATGATCTTATGCAGTCACACTACAGATGAGGAAGAGAGGAGACCATCATTCAAAATACAGTTCACAAATTTCATGGCAAACGCCTGCTTCCTCCTCTCCCTTTTTCCTTTTCCCCTTCTTCCTTTTTCTAATATTTTCTTGGAAGTCAATTTTCAACTCCCCAAATAAAGGCTTTTCTATAACCTTAGTTCAACCAGATACTTATCACCCTGGATAAGGGTTACCATTTTTACAAATACTTTTGGAGCCATTTGTGAAGTCTGGAGCCATTCCTGCAAACAATGAATAAAAATAGACCAGGGGTCCACCTTACTGGTTGATTTTATACAATAATATGGGCACCAAAAAAATATTTTAATTTTTTAAAAATGGTGGAATTTTCTGAGATACAAAAACATGTGAGGTTTTGAAGGTCTTGCTTGAAATCTTATGAGATTTGGTAATCTTGCAAGATTTTGGTCATTACTAAAATATTTTTACATAGGCCGTTGGACAACTACCTAAGAATGTTACATTTATCATAGTGCTTGCAGGTGTCCCACTAGCAACTCCTGGGCTAGAATGTGAACCTTTACAATTCAGCTATCTTCCTCTTAAGAAACATTAATTCAGTTGAAAGCAGAGTACTGATGAATATTTTGCTAGCACATCATCACCCTGAGTGCCATCTTGTTTACCCCAGGCCTGGATGTATAACAAGAATAGTTGTGCTCTGGAACACCTGTGTTTCCTGAAAAATCTACAGAACAGAAAGCTTGCAACATTCCCAATGACTCATAAGTAGGACAACGTGCTGTGTGTGCAAGCCTGTACTAGCTGTGCCTTAAGGACATAACTGGAGGTGCTCAAAACAATAGCAAGGAAAAAAATTCTCACAGGCTCCTCAAGCAATTTCAGAGCTAATAAGAAAGCCAGTGTAAATTATGCAAACTATATTCAGCCACATTTCGTCTCTTGGGCAAGATGGCAGTTCAAGCTGTAGATCCTGGTTTGGTTCAAGTTGTGTGTGCATGTGGGTATAACTCACACATTTCTACAGGGGCATTCATCAAGGCAGCCTACATTCAGTCTTGGCCACAAAGTTGTGCCTTTCTCCTGCCCCCTCCCAATGATCACTTTTTCTTCAACTGAAATGAAATGAGATAAAATTGATTAAAATCTATCTGCTGCTTATTGCATATTCAGAAGCTGCCGCTTCCAGCAGGGATCTGCCTGCCTGAATGAACCACCACAGAACGAGCCATCCAGGCAAAATCTTCCCATCCCTTCAAGCATCTTTGCGAAGTCAATAGATTCCGTTCAGCGAAGGACTGACTAGAATAATCAAGCAGAAAGTATCCAAGCAGTTCACCCAAAGCAAAGCTTCAGCCGATGGAAATTAGGGATCAGAAAGGAAGCTTCCCTTCCCCCAGCATTGCCACCCACCCACCCACCCACCTACACACACCCACACATAAGTTCTGGTGGTGGTTTTGCAGCCGGCTCCTGATGTTTCTGTGGCTCATTTCACACATCCCCACGGAGGCAAATTTCAGTTTTCCTTGCACACTCCACTGGGAAGGGCAGCCAATCATAAGCTTCTGAGGTGTTTGCTAACATGTTGTAGCAAGTTGTTGCTGCTGCTGTTGCTGTCTTACATATATTATTTTATGTTTTCTCAGATATTTGTGAAGTATCTTAGATTTCGGTTGGTTGGTTGGTTGGTTCGTTTATACAGTTTAATATATAAACTGGATAAATGAATCTGGATAGCTTACAGTTTAAAACACTGAAATAAAGATGCCAATCATATACGTCCAAAAGAAAAATCATTCATAATGAGTAAAACATTCTACAGGGGCTCGACAACCATCCTAACCCAAGGTCTGGGAGAACTGCTGAGTTTTCAGTGACCTCCTGAACATCATCAGGGTGGGAATCGTAGGGATGTCTGGGGGGATCCTGTTCCAGAGGCCAGGTGCCCCATAACAGATATAGAGTTCAGAAGCATCAAGGAGCTCTCATTCTGCCTCATCTGGAGTGTCCTGAATCCCATCATTCACAAAGAATTTCTCAGAAGATGATGATGTTGGTAGCACATATTGAAGCATTGGAGGTGGAGAAGGGACCCACAAATAGGATCCCTTACGCTATTAAGTTCCATCCTAGAGAAAAGTAGTAATCACAGTGGTAAGCAGAAATGTTTTTTTTCTGAAGTAGGCAACAGCATTTAACCTGAATCCAAACACAAATATACATTTTGTGATAAACAAATAACCAATTGCCAGTTAGATTAGAACATATGGAAACAACGGGCCATTCAACATTGTCTTCTCTCTGGTTTATACGGCCTATGAGCTAAGCAATTGGGGATGGTTGTACTGTATTTAGGGGCTCCCTAGTTTCCTCTGAGCGGGTCCCTCAACATCTGCCCCTAAATCTGGTTCTGAAGGAGCCACCCTTGCATGAAGAAGGTTCATCTGATGAATTGAGCTCTGCTGTATGAGAACTTGTACCATAATACTCTTCTTTAGATTGTGAGAAGTTGCTTTTTCTTCTAGAAACTTAATAAGATGATAGCTTTGACAATTACTGCATTATAGCATATATGTGTGAATGAAAATTTGAACTGTATGATTTTTATTTTTTTTGCTACCTCCTTTAAATCTTACATACTGGAATCACAGTGTTTACTACATAAATGTAACTCAACCCCTTTTGTCTCTTCTGCACAACCCAACCTGGAGTCCACAAGGTATGTTGGGTTACAGTTCTGTCTTCAATGAACATACAGAATGAGTGGAGGGAGGTCATAATCATGTTGGATTATGGATGGCACCAAGTTGTAAAAGGCAGCCTTAAACATGGTTTCTTCCCTTTTCCCTCCCCTGCTTTTTCTTCTCTAAGATGGAGTTTTCAGCAAAAGTTGAGAGTCCTGTATATTGGAGGGCTGGGGTATGTTTTCTGCTCCAGAGAAGTCAATGCAGCATGAAGACTTGGAAGGAGACAGATGTGGTAGGTCTGAATAGAAGTTGTATAAAGAATAGATTTCTTTAAATTTCCTTTACTTTAAAATAATACCAATACTAATAATTATGATGATTATAAATAATTATGTTGATTACAAATAATAATGAGAGTCAGTTTGATCTAGTGGTGAAGGCACCAGGCTAGAAACCCGGAGATGGTGAGTTCTAGTCCTGCCTTAGGCATGAAAGCTGGCTGGGTGACCCTGGGCCAGTCGCTCTCTCTCAGCCCAACTCACCTCACAGGGTAGTTGTTGTGGGGAAAATAGGAGGAGGAAGGGGTGTTAGGTATGTTCACTGCCTTGAGTTATTTATAAAAGTAATGAAGGCAGGATAAAAAAATCTAAAAAAAACCCAAACCCTAATAATAGCAGCTGTGCCTATTCCCACCACAACCTCATTCTGTCTCAAATAATTTTGTAAATTACAGGAGATGGACTATACTTTTACTCTTTCCATATGTTTCTCTATCTCTCCCATCTTTAATTTCCCCCTTGAGTTGCAGACATTTCTCAGACCATCTAGCTGATCAGCAATGGCCTAAATTGTTGCAACACCAAACCTATCAAAATCACAACCAAGCTCCTCTCTCTCCCTGCATGTTTTTGCCATTGACTGTTTCCACTGACTGGAAAATCACCACTGCTTGGCTGGGGGTTTTCTCTTCCGTGTCCCAAGCTTGATAACAACAGAATGCCCCAGCATGTTCATCCACATATTCAACCAGCTGAAGAGGAGCGCACAGCCTGGTGCTGGAAAGGAATGCCATGTACACATGAATCTCTGCTGAAATAAGCAGGCAGCACTCCTCCATTGCAGCAGCATTTTATTCCCTGCTCTTTGCAGTGCAGCAGAAGAAGAGAAGTGCTTCGATAGCTAATCAGAATTAAAAAAAAAAAAAAGCTGGATTTTACAAATGGGGCATTTTAAAAAGTCTTGTTGTTCTGCTCCTACATGCCCCCACATGTTTCATGGAGTTGGTTAGATTTTCCTTTCCTTACAAAAAAATAAAATAAAATTCTAAATCAGAAAAAAAAATCCCAACTATTTCAGAAAGCAAGAACATATTTTATAAATTCCTATCCACCTCTTGCTTCCCAGGAGAAAATACATCTGGGTGTTTGCTAGACCTGAAAATGCAGATAATTGTGGCTTCCCTTTTTCCAAATGTTGAGGAAGGGTCTGGCCTGCAAAGTCTCAATCTATTCCCTCTGAAGAAAGACCCATTGAACTCAGTGGGGCTTTCTCCCATTTAATGGATAATGATAGAGGATTACAAACTTAAACACTTCTGCTGTTGTCCTGCTGCTGTTATTCAAAGTAACTGTGTTGACAGAAGCTGCCAGTAAATAGCAGCTTTCAGTGTTTCTTGTTTCTTCTCCTTGTCTTTTCTTCTTCTTCTTCTTTAAATAAATTTTTTTTTTTTTTTTTTTTAAAAGAACAATCTTACATTTTGGAATTTCTCTCCCACCTAAACACCCAGCACCCCCCAGGTCTTGAAAGCAACCATAATAAATTATATTTTCTTTCCAGTAGTTGGGAAGAGATCTAAATGAATAAAATATCCCCGAGTCAGAAATCTGTTTCAGAACCGAAGAACAAAAAGACCACGCACAAAATTCTTCCGGCTCAAAAGAACTACATGAAACGATGGGTACTCGCCGGATCTTGCCGGATAGCTTCATTATATATATATATATATTAATCGTTTAGGGAAAAAATCAAATGCTGAAGTGGAAGAAAATATCGCTCTGAAGCGGGGGTGGGGGGGAGAGGGTTTTGATATTTGATATGCGTCAGGCGTAGCTCATATATCGCGTTTGAAAATCGCACACCGAAAGGTTTTCGGGTATCTCGAAGGGCCGTGGCATGGAAAGCCCCGCTCTGCAGTTCCCAGGGGTCTTCATCGCTGAGCCTTTGCCTCTGTATATACGGCGAAAGGGATCCAGAGAGCACCGAGGCAGACGAAAGCCAGTTTATCAAAAGATCTATCCATTGCTCTCCGATCTGAAGCTCGGGAACTTTCGTTTCTGTGCTTGGAAAAGCCGTTCGGACTTCCACGGGGACCCGTCCTTCGTTCTCCAGCGCTGGGTGAACGAATCCTTAATCTTGCAACCTTTTCGGTTCAAGTGGCCCGCTGCTGTCGGTTTCGACGGGAAGACTTTTCTTAAAGAGGCTCGTTAAAGTCAGCCAGTTCCGAGTAAGTCTGTAACAACTTCTTTCTTTCCGACCTCCCCCAGCCCGGGCGGGGGGAATGGGGTCTAGCTTCCTTCCCAAAGCCAACATCACTGAAGAAAAAATGAACTGGGCAAGCAAGGAAAGAAAGGAATAAGAGAGCCCAGACAACTTCCCCCTCAATAAATAACCCTCCCTAATCCCATTTAAAGTATAATAGTTGTTTTGTAAAGAATTTGTAAGTAAATACTATAACACACGTACATACACATCACCCACTGCCCCCCTCCGCTTATTCCTTAATTTATTCTGCTTTTTGAAAGTTTCAGAAATACAAAGAAGGAAGTCGATCGATTGGGGCTTGGCAGCACCCATCCTGTTTTTTATGACATTCAGCAAACTTGGAAGCCTTGCCTGCCCGTAAATCCGAAGGAGATACAAACATACGCAGTTATTAAAAACGTCGGCATAACAGAACAGTATCTGGTCAGCAATTTGTTCACAACTTTGGAAGTTTAATGTGTTTGCTAGCATCAATATCTCAGAACTGAGGACTTTGCCGGACTAATTCGTTGAAAGATGGGTTTAAAAGAGAGAGAGAGAGAGAGAGAAATTTATAATTTCTGATCTTTTCTGAATGGTACATTCGCTACCAAATTCGTGTATCTGATCGAAGTTGGATCTAAAATAAACGCAAGGCCGTTCCGAAGAACCTTTGTAAAATGTCAGGGTACTCCCGAAGACGCTTAAATAGTTTCCCTATCAAGTATATGTTCGTGGAGGATGTATGTGGTGTTGTTGTTGCGTTAATTAAAAAAAAAATCACTACCCTCGGAACAGAATTTGGAAATCAAATATATCGAAGGAATAAAAATAATTGTGAAGAGATTGTTTCCCATGTCTCGACCCAACGGTAGCGTGTTGGGATCCAACCACAGAAATAGCTACGAGAAATTCTTTCTGAGAGTCGTTTAAAAAGAAATAATATCCTGAAGAGTTTCAAGAAAAAGCTAAGATCCGGGTTTGAAAAACAAAAAAGCAGCAGCAACAATAACCGACGATGGATGCCGTTTGCTTTTAAAATTTCTCCCTTTCTCTCTCTCTTCCCCAAAGCCTTGTCCTCTAATGATGCGCAGAGGTCCCAGCGAGGCCAAGGAGTCGGGGGTCCTCACGTGAGCTGCCTGGCAATGAGAGCCCCGGCGCGTCCCCCTCGCCGCGTGATGGATGACCTTCGCCTACCTGCCGGGGTACCTGGAGTATCCGGTGATGCGGCAGGCGCGCCAGTGAGGCGTCCAATTGGAGCCTCCTAGCACTCGCCTGTTCCGCGGGGCGGGGGGCGTCCAACTTTCAGCCATTCAAAAGTTGCCTCCGCA